GTTTTGAATGGACTCATGGTTGAGCTTTCTATTTTATCAATTTATGAGTGATCAATGTATTGTAACCTTTTCTTCGTGATTAATCAATTCAATTGTCTGGTCTGTGTTCCCCGCTTTGTATGGTTGAGGTTTGGGCATGGGAGGCGATGGCTGGCGGTGAAGTAGCTGGTGAGATGGTGGTGGGTGAGCTACATACGGAAAAATTGTGAGTTGTGTGAGTGAGATGGTAATTTTGTTAAAGGATAAAATTGTGATTATGAAAAAATTCATTAACTGTGTGGAATAAGGAAACTTGGTGTGTGGAAGTAGAATTTCCCTAAAAAAAATTTAAGTTCCAAACAAAATAGGGTAAATTACATTGATCTCCCTGAGAGAATTAGAAATAATATAGCAAGTTTTATATTTTTGGTATAATTACACCAACTTCCATTTGAATTTGGGACAAGAGACCGAAATATTACAGATGGTATAAAGACAAAAAGATAAATAAAATAAAATTTGTATTTAGTGCAAAAGATGTGACAATAATATTTTTATTTTAGTTATATGATTAACATATTATTGACAAAAAGAAAAAAGAAAAAGAAACTGAATTAAAATCTTAGAAATGTCCAATATAATTATGTCAAATTTATTTCATTTATTATGTTATTTTCAAATGGCACGAGAGATTCATGAATTGATAATTGGCTAAAATAGCAAAAAATAAAAAAGTTAATACAAAAACTCAACTCATTCTTGTTATTTTTTTATATATCTTTTCGTAATAAGTTAAAAAATTATTAAAAAATTCAATTCCCAAATAAATTCGTACTAAAAAAATCAAATTTGAAACAAATTTGTGTATGACACGGGTAGAAAATTAGTACGGACAAGTAGACCATAGACATTATCATAGAAACTGCATAGTTGGAAAAAGTTTTGCCACCATGACTTGTTAACATAGTTCTAAATATCGGCCGATACGCTACGTATTAGCTGATACGTACCGGAAAAATAGGACACCGCGACAGATACAGGCCGGTGTAACACTGAGATTGAAAGTCCAAGCATATCGGCCGAGTCCCGGTACGTATCGGTTTGTAACCGTTACACATGCCGTTACACAAGCCGCGACGGGTCGATACTCACCGGTTCGGACCGGTACGGGAAAAAAAAAGCTGAAAAACTTGTGTAGGGAAAAATTAGGATTGAAAGTTGTGCAGCCGTAATTTTTGACTTTTGGTGAATAGTGATAATTTTTTAACTTTTTAAGTAACTTTTTGACTTTTTGACAACTTGCCAAACTTGACTTTAATAAATATTTAAAAAGCTTAATTTGTGGTGTGCTTATGTGCATCATACATGGTCGACTTATGACTTACTCTGATTTTTTGTGGGGCTTGGTTAAAAAAAAATATTATCATTTTAAAAAAAAAGTACAATTTTTAATTGGATAGTAACTTATTATATTGGCTTATTTTGAGAAGATAATTAAAAGTTGATTTTTTAATTTTCTTTGACTTTTTCCTTTTAAAAAAAACTTATAAAAAATGTGAGAAGTGATGATATAACCCAAAATAGGTTAAAAGCTAATTTTTGACTTTTTTAGCTCTTCTCAAAAGATTCAATTTTTAACTCAGTAAAGTGTCAACAATGTTACAATGAGTGAAATCTTACATCATGCATTGTTTGAAAAGTGCAAAATCCAAAGGTGACTTGACCATTAAATCAAGTAGCCTGTCCACTAAGATCTATAAGAAAATTTTTAAAAAATGAGTAAATTACATTGACACTTCCTGAGGTTCATGTTTATTACAGTTCCTCTCTCACCTTTTGAAAATTATATCATCCTCCCTGAGGTTTAAGTTTTCATTACAGATTGCTTCCTCAGTTAGTTGACTGTCAGATTTTGCTGATGTCAACAATTTAATTTTTTTAAATACCAATTTTCCCATACTAGGTAAATTATCTTGACACCCCTCACATTTTAGAAATTACAATCCTCTCCCCAAGGTTTAAAGTAGCATTAACAATTGCCCCATCGGTTAGTATTAGTTGGAAAAAAAAATTGTTACTTAAATTTTTAAATTTTTGTTTAAAAATCAACATAAACTCATTTTTTGAATTTACGTTTTTTCCTCAAATTTACAAACTGAGACAACTATTTATAAACCAAAAAAATTATCAAACAAGTTTTTATGACAGTTTTTTAAATTTCTGTAAATATAAATTGAAAACTGAAAACAAAATAGTTATCAAACATGCCTCAGATGGTAAAAATGTCGTAAAATTAACAAATAATTAAATAAGGTACCAACGTAAGAAATGACTTAGCAAAAGATTCTTAGGCTATGTATAGTTTGATTTTTAGAATTTTTTTTTAAAAATTAAAAATTAATTTGGTTAAGAAATAAAAAATAAAAAATAATTATCATTTCTATATAATTTTTATCTTTCGAGTGGTTAGAAATAATTTTTTACATTTTTAATATATTTCTTCATATTTATTTTTATTAAATTAGTTTTTTTTTTTAAATGTCAGGGGAGGATCCGCATTAATTTGAAATCTTAGGGAGTGTCAATATAATTTACCCTTTAAAATATATATAAAGATTAAGGGTAAATATGTCATTTTAACTTAGAAGTTAACACCGTCAAATAATTACACTGATAAGGGGGGTCAGTGTAATTTCCTAAATGTGAAGAGGAAATTATAATAAGCATAAACCTCAAGGAGTCTCAGTGTAACTTATCCTAAAAAAATTTAGTGTTAAAGGCCCTAACCTTTTAAAGACTTATTTAGATAGAGTCTCATTTTGATATTCAATTTATGGCATCTAATAATCTTGGGCCGCTGGTGGTAATATCATAAAATTTCTCAAATTGGCATTTACAAAAATAGGATAATTTTAACAAGTGTGGAATGATTTTTATCATGTGGTGGGTCAAACTCAAAAGAAAATAATGATAAAAAGTTAAAGAAAAAGTCTACAATGTACACGTTCTAAAAAGGCATATGATATGCACTTATTGTGTGGTCCATATTATTCCACGTCATAAAAAGTAACCTACTAAATAGGTCATTTAACAGGTTACATGAAAGAATCATAACTTTTTTTAAACATCATAACAATTACTATAATGATTCATAACAATGTCATAATATACACTACGGTGTCATAACAAAGACACTATCAATCATAACAATATGACAACAACTCATAACAAATGTAGTTATTTCTAACAAATCATCGTAACATTTGAATCATAACATTTTTTTATTATGATTCACCAAAAGAAATCATAACTTTTGATGGTATAAATCATAATTTTTACTGATGAAGCATAACCATAACACATTGAGTATAACTTTTTTCCCCACAATCATAACGACATTAACAAAATATTATAACTTTTACCAATGAATCATAACATAGCATGTTGATTGTAATTTTGTACCGAAAATCATAACATTAACAAAACATTATAACTTTCAAAATTTCAAACACGATTGTGTAATCAATTGGCATAGCATATTGGAGTGCATGGAAAATCATAATTGATTGCAAAATCGATTGGATTCAAAGACCACAATTGATGATTATACAATCGATTAGTAGACAGGGTTTTGAACAATCACAATTGATTATACAATCCATTAGAATATAAGGGAGATTCAAATATCACAATTGATTGTAGGGATCCTTGATATAATAAACATAATTGATTCAATAATCAATTAGTTTTCATAAGCCACACTAAACCAATTAATTCCCAACTTATTCATAGTTCCCAATCAATTAGTAAAAGCCTAATCATTACTATCAATTTAGTCAATATTCGAATAGTAATTGATTGGTCGCTATTTATATGTAATTATGTTGTTGTGTTGCCATTACCTCAGACATTATCACTAACAAAAACGCATGACACTCCAACTACGTTTCTTGATCTACGATTCTCTCTCTCTCTCTCTCTCTCTCTCTCTCTCTCTCTTTCTCATTATCGTCAATGTTAATGTTACCTGAAACGTTGTTGCTATGATTATCTCATCGACTCTCACTCTTTCTTTCCTTGCCATTATTAGTTAATTAGACAACAATGTTATTGTTATCAACTTCAATTAATCATGCCCTCTGATCCACTAAAACACAACCATCATCATTGACTTAGATCACTATAATAGCATTATTGCCCCTACTAGTGTCATGTTGGCATTATGTCCAAATGATGACGTCGGGTATAAATCACTTTGACACATTTATAACTCTAGCACATATCAATAATAGTCCTTGCCTATTATTTCGTAGTCGGTCACTACTTTTTTACCGTAACTCCTTTTTAAAAATAATAAATTGTATTTTTATTCTTAGATATATATCACTACAAGAAATTGTACTTTTGGCGACTAGATTAGATATTAGTCTCCGAAAAGTTTTCCCGACTAAATAATTTAGTTGCTGGCTTGGTCGCGGAAAGATTGTCGGAAAAAGTATTGGCGACTAAAAAATATTTAGTCGCCATAAGTCCTAAATTGGCGACTAAACAATTAATCGCCAAAAGGAAAGATATTGGCGACTGAATTTTTTTTAGTTGTTGAAAGTTGACAATTAGTAACTAAAAATTTTGCCGCCAAAGTTTTCAAAAAATGTCCTTTTTTGTTTTAGCGACTAGTCGCTAAAAACGTGACACTGCTTTTTGGCTACCAATTTTTTAATCGCTAAAATCATGATACTCTTTTTTGGCTACTAATTTTTTAGTCGCCAAAAGCTTTCATTTTTTTTGGCTACTACGTATTTAGTCGCCAACAAATTCCCTTTTCATTTTTTGGCTATTGAATGTTTAATCACCAAAAGCTCTATTTATTAATTTTTATAAAATACATAAATTGAATATTTTTCATTAATTTATAAATTATATGCATTCCATTATCAATGCAACCTGTAGCTTGTATATATACAGAATAATACATCTATCAATTATCATCTAAATCCATTATCAATAATACCCATTTCATTACCAACTATCCAAAAACTTAACATCATATTCCAAATATCATATAAATCCACACTAACTAAATATAATCCATCTAAATTAAATATTACATATAAAAACACTGGATTTCTAACACAGAGGGTTGTAGAAAAATAAATGTCTTTCATATACAAAAAATATGCTCTTCGTACACAAAAATAAATATCCACAATAGCCCACGCAAAAGCAATCTATAAAAAAAAAATAAATTAACCATTAGCACTTAATAAAATTGACATTTCAAATTATAACAATTATAAAAAGAAAACTGAATTTATATTAGCAATCCCTCTCATGTTGTGTTTCACAATATGGGAAAGATGGACACTCAACTGAGGTTTTCCACATACCTAATGGCCAAAAAAAAAAAAACATTCCAATAAAGATTATGGAATCTGAGCAGATAGCATGCTTCATCTTAACAACCAAATGTAACACGAATCCAACACTACTGGCAGTCCACAATAATGCAAAAGATGAGTTGTAAAGAGTTGATTCATAGCGAGATTGTTGCAAATACTAAAGATTATCATGTGTTGTGTTTCAATTACAACACGGGATCCTAAGCAACATAAATCAACAAGTGACAAATACACAATGCCATACATTAACTACTGTATTAGACTAATCTGAATCATTCCTAAAATCTCAAAATTGTGTCATCCCTTGTACAAGCAAGGATGGAGTGTCTTCAGCCATGGGACATCCAAATGACCCCTCTGCAGACCATAAAACTAAATCCAAAGTCAATACCACTCTTGAAGGAGAAATATAGTTACCTTCAAGGATCTCCATTCAGAATCAGGCCATCTAGTTGATGTACTTTCCCCAACACCAACACTTGTTCCACTGAACCTGCATATATATATTTTGATTAACATTTCTAAGTTCCTGATCCTAACAAATATTAGCCCAATTACGCAAAATACCTTCTTTCTGGAACTTCCTCGCCCTCAAACCTCATCCCAACAGAGAGCTTCTGGTTCTGGGCTTCAAGGTACTTGTTGACACTTACAATGAACTCAGACAGACTTGTTTTGCCACAAATAATGCTAAAGTTCAGTAAATCCAATTTTTATCAACCAACTACAAAGCAAAAGCAAATTTAGCAAAGAAATTATTTTGGATAGTCCATGTAATTAGAACCATTTTTCACAGGCCATATTTGTGGATGCAAGGGTGAAAACTTCAAGGACAAAGCTTATCCAAGAATAATACTAGAACTAAGTCAATACAAAGAACCCAAACAAATCTCTGGACTTAAACATGCGCTAATAACATGAGATCTCTTTAAAATTATCACTTGCAATTCAAAGATTGAAACCTGATATTGTAAATGGCACAGACGAAATTAAATGCTAGATAAAAACACAAGAACACCAAAGATGAAACAAAACTACACATGCATGCATCTGTCCATGCAAAATAAGGCAAAAGAGAACCTTGGTTTGTAGAAAGCAGAAAACAGGGTTCTAGTTGAGATAACATGAGATGCAGTAGCAAGAACCCCAAGATGCATGCTGTGAGTGGATATAACAGAAGAAGGCATGTTATTCTGCTGTCTCATCAGCCTCCTTACTCCAACTCATAAGATGAGAGATTATTGTAATTTAAATTAAGAAAATTTTTAAAGGACTCAAAATGTTTTTCTTTAAAACTTGATTGAATACCAAGCGCACAAGATATGTCCTTTGATTGCAATATCATCTCCAACTTGATGTGTTTCAATTGATTATAAGACATTATAATAGACAAGTATGATACTACAATTTTTACTTTTTCATCATTACTTCAAAGATTTAATAATTAAAAAATAATAATCCAAGGCAGGGGGCTCCTTGCCCACAAAACCAAATGTGAGGGTTGCAAAGAGCTTAATTTTTTAATTCAAACATTAAGGACATACATTGATTTTCATTGCCCAATAAAAATTAAAGAAAGAAAAACAATCAAGGACAACAGATAATACTCCCCCAATTCTTATCTAGCCTAGTTCTTTGCACATTAAAAACTATAACAGGATGCTAGGAGCATTGGACATATGACAATTCTAACAGTAGCATTACTCATGGAAACAAGAATATCTCACCACAATTCATTTTGCTCAGATTCTATAATTATGTTATGAGGATTAATAACAACATTCTAGAAAATAACAAAATTTCAGCAGATAATCCTAGCAAAGACAAAAATAAATTCATCCTACAACCAACAATAAAGCATGCAATCAACTTAATTACTGAACCAACAAACCAGTCCTCAAAACCTCCCTATGACATTTTTACATACACTTGGTGAGCATAAATCAAAAAGATTAGTTTGCTCACCAACACAGGAAAGCAGACCAACCCATTTTCACAAACATTGGCATATGAGGCATGAATGAATGACAGATCTCTCTTGCAACCCACTAAAAGTTGCATAAATAGGATGCTGACTTAGATGACTTCAATTCTCGAAAAAAAAAAAAAAATCCAAAATCTCAGAAACCCAAATTTCTTTCATTGTTTTTGGGACATTTGAACAAGGGCCCCTCATAATGATAATTGTTTTTGCGAAATTAAGTGAGAGAGAGAGAGAGAGAGAGAGAGAGAGAGAGAGAGAGAGTGATCTTGCCGATCATCACACTTAGAGTGATCTTATGCCTGCAATGCATGCTTCTCAACCTAGCCCAATGCAAGCAACCTATACCGATCATCACAACAAACTTTTTACCTATCAGTCTTGCTAGTTTATTTCAACACATTAAGATACACAAGTTCTACAAATCACACCACTAGTTACAAATATCACTATTTTTTACTTCTTTGCACGGTTAGTTAGAAGTTCAAATCATAACAACATGGTAGCTAAAATAAATTTCTATGAACTTTGCACAAATAATTTGCTCCTCAAACATTGAATCCCAAAAATAGTTGTAAGACATCGGTGTCCTCATATAGTTTTAAAAATCTCATCATTTCATAACTTTTATTCAATTGTTAATACCGTGTAGATTTTCTAATTTAGGCCTTAGTCCTATCAAATTTTGGCATTTCATCGTCTCCAAGATAACTCATAAACCATTTTAGAGCATCTCCAACATTTCATCAATTTTTTCAACTAATTTGATTTCAAATTTGAGTAAAAAATACTTGATTTTATATGAACTACTCAAATCCTTTCATTAAAATCTTTTTAAAAATCTTTCTCTTATCCAAAATTTCCCTTTTCATATTTTCCTAATTTTATAAACCAACCTAGTGAGTTCACAAAGGTGGAAGGGGCAGTTTCGAAGAAGGGGATTTCAGTCTAGGGTTTCATAGATTGGAGATGGAGAAAGGGAGAGAAACAAGTTACAGAGAGAGAGAGAGAGACATACCTTGAGGCAAAGTCGAGGGCATGTTGTGTCCGCGGGATAGTCTTCGAGGGTGAAGAAGAGCTTCGGAGTCGTGTCTGAAGAGAGCTCCGGAGTCGTGTCTGAAGAGGGTGAAAAGGAGCTTCAGAGTCGTCTATGAAGAGAGCTCCAGAATCGTGTCTGAAGAGGGCGAATAGAAGCTTCGGAGTCGTCTGAAAATGGGTTTTGGGAAAACAAAGTGAAGAGGGATTGTGGAACATACAACGATCGGTAAACAAAATTGCAACCGGTGAAAAAGTTATTCAATATTTTTAATCAAATTATTTAATGTTTGAAATTAATTTATAAAGATCTAATGGTTTAAAATAAATGTGTACATGATGTGCACTAGTTAATGAGGTGCACATCTTAACAGCTCCCAAAGTTAAATGTTATGTCTGTGCAAGTGCAGTGGACCATAACTTACCCAAAAAAAGTGCAGTGGACCATAGAAATTCTAGAGTTGGGAAAAAAAATTTAATGCCATGACTTTTATAACTTTGTTCGCACACTCTTTTTTAGTGGTTGAATAATACACAAAATAAAATTAGTATAAAAATTTAAAATTCATATTTAAAGCAATGTAATGCTTTTATCTTCGGCTCATTTATTTGAGAACACTACAACAAAAAAGGCCTTTGGTGACAGACTGATTTTGTCTCCAAATATCAAATTTTCGTCACTAAAGTGATATGTGACGAAAAAATTTTGTCACCGTATTTGTCGCCTATACGTTGTCACTGAAAGTACCTGGTGACGAAAAATAGTTTCGTCGCCTATTTTTCATTTTTGGCGACGAAATGTTTCATCTCCGAATGTTACATTTTTCGTCCTCTATAACATCAATTTCGTCACCAAAACTAAATAATATTTTATTTTAATTATTTTTGGCGACGAAATATTTCGTCACCAAATAGATTTTAGTGATGAAAGTTTTCCTCACCAATGATATAGATTAAGGTGACAAAAAAATTCGTCATTAAAATGAGCAGAAAAGAAAATTCTTCAATAACAAAAAACATTTTGTCACCAAATATTTCAATTTAGCGACGAAATATTCAGCAAATGTGACGAAATTATTTGTTTGGTACCATATCATTAGTGACAAAATGATTCGTCATGTTTTTTGAAACCTAATAGCGACATTTTTTATTTCGTCACTGTAGACACCCCATTTTGACCATCCTCAAGACTTAAATGTTCTTGCAGGTACATCCCGTGACAAGTTTGATTGCTCGTCGAGGGCTCGAATTTCGTGACGGAACGTCACAGGTTTGAGCTTTCCAAACCCTGTATCCATTCTGCCTTTTTTTTGGACCATGCTTTGGTCCTTCCATTATGTTTTTCTTGGTGCACTGCCGGCCATGATAAGGCACTGCTGACCATGGATTTTAGCCTGCCGGCCATCACTGATGGTCGGCCGGCCACCAGTGCATCAGTCGATATTTTCTAATATTCTGGTGCCAGTTGTTTGCACAGATTGTGGCATCTACTTGCACGCGGATGGTTGGATCTTTTCAAGAGGATTTTGTATCTTCTATATATAGGAGTCATTCTCTTGCATGTGGGTGGTTACAAAATTTTGTGAGCAAAATTTCCTCTCTCTCTCTTTAGAATTCTCTCTCTATCTCTCTCCCTATTTTGTGCTTAAAAGTGGGAATTCTCTACACATTTGCACTAAGACCCTTGACCAAACACCTTCACATTGGAGTTGAGGTTCTTGGAGGCCTTGTTTGAGCTTCTAAGAGTGGTTTTAGCTCAGAATTTTTGCTGTTTGTTGCTGTGCTTCAAAGGTATAAGGCTTACTCCTTTTAAGCTTTGTCTTAGTTACTTGCTTGGCCACCTTTGTGCTATTTTGAGGCTGGTTTTGGCATGTAAAAAGTTCTGTTTTTCAGTCCTAAAAGAGGTGGTTTGAGCCTTTGTGAGTTAGGAGGTTGTTCCCCTTTTTTGCTTTTTAGCTTATTAAGCTTTTTGCACCATTTCTCATCACCTTCAAATCAAACTTTTTGGGCCTCTTTACCACTAAAACTCAGAGATTTTTAAATGACAAAAACCATGTTTTAAGGTCCAAAATAGGAGGGGTTGGCCTTCCCTCCTTGTCTCTTATTTGCAAGTGTAGATAGCCTAACATATGAGCATGTTTTTCTACCTTTTTGTGACTTGATCTCAGCATGATTTAGCCACTGATTTGGCATGCTTTAAACCTATTTTGAGTTGCCTTGGCCATATGAGCCTAGTTTTGTATGGTTGTAGTGCAAATGTCTTCACTAGCTTTGTGCTTTAAGGCTTCTAACATGCTTTGCATGAGATGATTGCATGATATAGTATCATTTTACATGTGATTTCAGTGCATATACCTCTGTCACACTCTCACTTAGTTCACCCTTTCATTGCTTTTTGAGAGTTGTGTTTTGAGCCTTGTTTGCAAGCTAATATGTGCACATGATTTTCTTGCCTTTTATGCTTCCATCTCAACATGTTTTAGCAACTGTTTTGGCATGTTTAAGCTCTGTCCAGAGCTGGTTTGGTCATTTAAGCTTGATATTGCATGCCTCTAGTGTAGTGTTCTTCACTAGTTTAATGCTTTTGGCTTTTGAGCATATCTTGCATGTGTCGCATACCATGATTTAGTGTCTTTTGCATACCATTTTAGCACTAAAAGCTTGCAACCTCCCTTATTTCTTCATTTTTCTATTTGTTTTGAGGGTTGGTTAACCTTATAATTGTGTTTAAGCTTGAGATAGAGCTTGTGCTCAATGGCTTTAACCCTCTTTTGAGGGTTCGTGTTTAAGCTTGAGATAGAGCTTGTGCTCAATGGCTTTAACCCTCTTTTGAGGGTTCCTCCTAGCCAAATGCATGATCTTTCTCATGTCTTGAACCATCCTTTGGTTGATCCCTCTCTCATTAGAGGACACTCATCTTGGACAAATTGACTAAGGAATGACTTGGTAATGCTAAAATGAGTAAATAAAATGAATCAAGTAAAACATGACCAAGATAAACATGTTGTGTTTGCATTGTATT